ACATTGAGATGGTCACAGAGAAGGAGCGCTCATACAGATAAGAGAACCACTCCGGAGCAGTTCCTGATAGGCCTACCCGTCTCTTAGCCTATCCAGTAGGAGGTGATGGTCAACAGTGTCAAAGGCTGCAGTCAGGTCCAGCAGGTCCAGAACAGAACAGTCTCTTGCATCACTGTGTCAGAAGGTGTTTCAGTAGAGTGAGCGCTACGAAAACCTGACAGGAAACTATCATAGATGTTATGTTCATAGTTACAGACATAAGGGTGCCAAAATGTTTATATACATTCTGACATGAGTGCGCTGGGGGGTGGGGAGATGAGCTGGGGGGTGTAAAGGCAAAGGGACATCTCTTGGGAACAAAAGAAAACCTGGCTACTTCCTGGTACAATATTTGACAACTGGCAACAATGACTTTGACATCCATGGCTGCACCTTTCCTGCCGTGTAGTGAAGAACCTGCTGTTCCCATCTCCACCTGGCAGAGAATGTTCAAGAACTACTTGTTTGCGATTCATGCAATTGATAATTCTTGGCCAGACGTCTGACACCGTGCACTGCTGATACATGCTCTGGGATTCGAGGGACACCCTGCCCAATTTTGGTACTTCCTATGATGCAGCTATAGCAGCACTGGAACTGCAGCTTGTGCCTAAATTTAATGTCATCGTACTGAGATATCAGTTCTGCCAGAGGATGCGGCAAGGTGACGAGAGATGGTGCCACAGTTTCTGACGGCTATACGTGAGTTGGCCACTACATGCGCTTATGGAGTTCTGGAAGATGAAATGCTACATGACTAGCTCGTAGAGAGAGCTTATGCATCAGAGGTGAGAAGCAGACTGCTGCTAGAACCTTCTCTTACATTGGATTATGCTGTTCCTCTGGCGTATCATGTGGACCCTGCTCTGCAATCATCCAAACTCCTTTGTGGATCTGCTACCGTACAAGCTGTTACTCAGCGCAGGGCTGAACACTGCATTGGTGGCCGACGTGCTGCTGCTTCTTAATATAGTCATTGCCGCAGTGCACCGCTGAGTGTGCACACTTGCTACTGCTGTAGATCTGTGTAATACCTAGCATATGCTCGGGACTGTCCTACAACTGTGGTAAAACTGGACACTTTTCTAAGGTTTGCTCACAGCTAGACAAGTTACTGAAATTAGGCCTGAAGTAGTACTCCTAATGATGACTGAGACAATGCTAATGCTACTAAAAATTTTCTCGCAAAATGCATATTGAAGCCACTTCAGGAGAGGCTACTAACTGTGAGCTACTGGTTGCTACAAGGGCTTCTGTTTCTGTCATACCAGAATCCCTGTACAACAGATGCTTCACTGGAAGTCTTCTCACTGCTCCTCGGGTGAAACTGGTATCCTACTTAAAGGAAGCCATTCTGTTCTCGGCTGTTTGGAAGCCATGTTACGCTTGACACAAACTCTGCTCCTGCTTGTTCGTATGTAGTGTAGGTGGATTTGCATTGATGGGGATCAGTCTAATTCAGGCTCTGAAGTAGGGATGTCATGGTAACCGGTGTAATGCACAATCGCGGCGCATGCACATTATCTGCATGCATGCTCCTCTGACTAGTATGGTGTCACTGGGGTTAGGGTGGGCTGGGGCTGGAGTTAGGGTGCAGGGTAGGGTTACAACAATGACAGTCTGACATACGTGGTTTGTTAGACTGACATACGCTGTAATATGTGTATGACAATCTGACAATGTATGGTGCTTTGACATAACACCAAGTTTATTGACTCGGCCATAGCTGACAGTCTTTGACTCTAACTACAACCCTTGGACTCAGAATGTGGTTGCCAATTATGGTCATGTTCACCACAAAACACATGAAACTACTCCTATTGCACTAATTTTAGGAGACAGACTTAGGGAAACATGATCCTTTTTAGTAATCAAGCCCCCTGATCTCCCTGTTATGTTTGGTGCATCATGGCTCAAGAAGCATAACCCTCACGTTGACATGAACAGGGGCAAGGCCTTTGGCCCTGTCCACACGTAGCCGGGGATCTGCCAAAACGTAGATATTTTTCTACGTTTTGGCCTGTCATCCACACGAAAACTGAGTTTTTTCACACGAAAACGGATCTTTCTAAAAACTCCGGCCAAAGTGAAGATCTGCGTTTTCTCCGTTTTGGGTGTCTGCGTGTGGACGGACAAAACCGGAGTTTTAAGGTCCGCAACGTCACTTTCCGCGACCAAAAAATGCTGACATCACGTGTGCGACCTGTGTTTACACTAGCCGACAGCATGGATGCCCTCAGAGCTGCGCTCGCTTTATCAATTGTCCAAGCGCTTTCTGCTTGTTTGTTTTTGCAAGAGGAATTACTGCTCCTTGCGGAAGACCACAGACGAAGGACGAGGTTAAGAACGGGGGAAGTACTGCCGCCTACAGGTCTGGCATGTCCTTAACAACGTATTTATCCGGGTACGTGTGGACAGAGTTTGTTTTAAAACAAGGTGGTGTGGATGCAAGTTTTTGGAGGGGCGGATATTCGTTTTTTTAAAACCTGGCTACGTGTGGACTAGGCCTTTAATTAGTCTGCACAGTGTCATGTACACCACGTACTGGCCCCTCATGTCACACTTCCACCGACAGAAATGTGACCTTTCCCGATCTTTTCAAAGTCCTGCCCGAGTATCATGATGTCAAAGAGGTTTTCAATGAACACAGCACTTCCTCTTTCCCTTCTCATAGGCCTTTTGGTTGTGCTATCAACCACCTGCCTGCCACCTTTTCCCACCAGAGGTCATTTGTACTCTCTAACCAGTCCAGAGAACCAAGATATAGAGAAATACATCACAGCAAGCTGGGATTATCCACCCTTCATTGTCTCCTGCCAGAGCAGGATTCTTCTTCGTAATCAAGAGATACGGTCCCCTCAGACCTGTACTGACCCACAAGAATCGTTATCCCATAAACACAGCCTTTGTCTTACTTCAAGGGTCCAGGAATTTCACCAGACCAGATCTCAGGAATGTTCAAAACTTTGTCTGAATCAGAGAAGGAGATGAGTGTAAACAACCTTCAACACCCCCCATTACGAATCCTTGGTCATGCTTTGTCATGGTTTTACAAACGCCGCTGTTGTTTACCCATCTCTGGTCAGTGACATTCTACAGGACATGTTTGGTCCGTTAGTTTTCGTTGACTTGGATGACATTCTCATTTCCCCACACATCAGAAACATGTCCATTTAGTACTTCTCTGCCTTTTACAGAATAACCTCTTTATTAAAGCAGAGAAATGTCAGCTTCATGGGTCTACCATGTCATGTTTTGGGTCTTGGTTTCACCTTCAGCTACTAGGAAATGTTTGGTCTGCGGGGTTAGGGTTAGGGTTACAACAACGTGTTTAAAGAGTTTAATTCAGGTGTCGATAATTCTAGAGTTATGAAAATGTGCTGTCAGTGGGCAACACAATGAAACACAATGCTTCTGTGAGCAACCTAACATTGATTATTAAGCATACACAAAGGCAGTCAACGTGCCAAAATAACAAGGATGATGAAGAAAATACATGGGGAAAGTCAAATCACAGTAAATTTGAAAGGATCTTTATCATTTACATATCAAACAGCAGTTTTTGGTGTCCCTTATGATAGGAGCTTAATCAAGTTTGAATTGCCTGAGTGATGTCTCTGATTAAGTTTACTGGACTTCCCAAGCAGACCGTTGTGTGCATGTTCGGACTGATGGAGCTGTGCTGTGTTTATGACATAATTTGAGTGGCTCGGGGTTTATGTCGACCTCAAGTGTGTGGCTACAGGAACTGCAACAACTCGGATGACAACCATTTCCTTTAAACCTCTAGAGTAGTTAGAAAAATTCAACATGATATGAAATTCAGGAGGGCTTCTGCTGTCTGTTCTGTCCTCGGGTCGCTGGGGAGAGTTTTCAATCACGCCAGATTACTTTAAAAATGTCTTTGATCTTTTTGCGTATTTTAGGCGAGCTTTTTGTTGAGACATGAAAGAATTCAGCTGGGGATTTTATCAGCGCCTTGCTGATCGTGTGTTTGTTTGTGGAAGCATTTTCTCACATCTCAGCTTTGATCTGCAGCCTCCTACATTCATTTCCACACAGTGTGCAGTGTTCATCCGAGAGCAGACAATACGCTCCACTGTTGCTTCACATTCAGTCACATGCAGGAAAAAGCCTGCCTGTAACAATGCTTTCCCCAAACCGCTGAACGTCATCAAATATCTTTGTTTTTGTGTCTGGTTTTATTTTCTTTTTGAAGAAATTCACAGATACTTCATTTCAGAAACATAAAAAAAAATTAGGTGTTTTGCATCCCATTTTTTCATCAAACAGTTTCTTGATAAACTCACAGGAAAATCATTTTTTGTTTATTCACTGACTTGAAAATTGCACAAGAAGAAAAGTTTGCATAGCAGATATGTTTTGCTGCATGGGATGGGTAAACTTCCTGTCTGCATTTAATGACATCCCTCGTGACTTGCAGTTTTGGGAAGCACTTGACGATGGCCTTGTCAAATGAGCCATCTCTGCCCACCCTGCTGCCCATTGGCACAGCAGAAGGAGCTCAAAGGGGAGGGCCTAATGGGCTCGCTCTCCTTTCTGCAACCGAGCATGTGTGCTCCTCTGAGAGAGAACTGTTTGTGAACCAGCTCCGAGTCTTGAGCCAGAGCGGTCAGCTCTAATTATCAGATGCTTCGAGCAGCCTCTGTCCCGACTGAACACCAAGAGGCCTCTCCACCTGAAGCTAGAGAAGAAGAACTCTTGTGGCTCTGTCAAGCATGGAGACCAGAGAGGGAGAGAGAAACACGGGCATGTCGGCATGTGCTCTGGAGCTGCTGGGGATGGTGATCTATGTCGGGGCATGGCTGTGCGCTTTAGCTACCACTATCCTACCACAGTGGCTGACCATGTCCACTGCGCTGCTGTCAGTAGAAAGCTACGACTTGGGCTTGTGGGAGACCTGTGTGGTCCAGGACATTGGAGGCATTGAGTGTAGATCTTATGACAGCCTCCTTGGCCTTTCAAGTGACCTCAAGCTGGCTCGCATCTTCATGTGTGCTTCACTCACATTGGGCATGCTGGGAATTATTGTGGCTACACCCGGACTCTACCTGATCAACAGCTGTTCAAATCATGGCGGCTATCAAACCAAGAGGACTTTAACCATCACAGGAGGGGTTCTGGGCATGATTTCAGGAGTGCTGTGCCTGATCCCTGTGTCCTACATGGCCCATTTAGCAGTGGTGCATTTCTTTGATGATAAAGTACCAGACGCGGTGCCTCGGTGGGAATTTGGAGACGCCTTGTTCTGCGGCTGGGTGGCAGGATTTCTCTTCATAGTTGCCGGGCTGCTCATGGTCACCTCCTGTGTGTGCTCCCAGGTGGAGCCTCAGCCTGCGCTGCAGAGGAGGTATCAGAGGAAGAGTTCAGATGGTAGCTTCAGAAAGCACGCGGAGTACGTTTAACGGAGGAAGAAGATGGACAGCACAGCCATCTGTAGCTGCTTTGCACCAAAGAATATTTTTGTTATCAAATGCAAGAACATGTATTTTAGTTATTTTATCCAAAAAATGGTTTTCATCACCTCGATTCCGTTGTTTTGCCTGTGAAGTTGAACGTCACATTTGATCGGCGTGCTGTGATCAACACAAAGAAATGTCTATTGTCAAGATGATGCTACAAAATATGTATTATCCTTCAATCAGGACACTTTCAGACTCCTGTCAGTACCTGAAGTGAACTGGTGCCTTCTTAAGCTCGCTGTGATTGGATGTCATTCTGAAAGCTAAAGCATTGATTGTTTCTTGGAAAGTTTCTGTGCCTTTGTTTGAATCCGGGACTCTCCACCATTTGACCTCAGAACTGAAGAAGCCTCTCGGATGAGAGGTGAAACGTCTTCAAGCAACTCAAAGAAGTCCAGACGCTTTTCTTTCAACGCTCCGTAGACTAGAATGACCTGGATGACTGAGACCTTCACAGACCTGTCTTTCTGTGCCTTTGGTTGGTTTGCTCATGAGCTGTATTATTCAGACTTTTAACAAATGATCCACATCAAATGTTTCTTTTTTCATTAAAATGGTAAACGCTCCATGCCGTGGATACGACTTGTGTTGTGATTCGGACAGAGGTCAGGCTAACTCCTTGTTATGTCAGAGGTTAACAAGTGGCCGCGCTTTTCCTTTTTCACCTTCAGATGGCTGTCTGAGGGGGCGGCGGACTAAAACAAAACCTGGTCTGTTAGGTGTGTCTGTGGTGCTGGAAACACAGCTTGAGTCTAATTCCATCAGATTTCCTGGTCTCTCACTGAGCTAAGCTGTGTTTAATGAATGCTTTAATGGCCAGCGTGTTCTGGGAAGAATGTAGGACAAGTTGACATAATTACACAAATTTGCCAGGGTCAGAGTGTGTCACCGCTCTCTGTACTCCACAAGTGTCGGTGTCCTTCACGTGCACACAAGTAGAGAGAGAACACTGCTATTGGTGCAGCAGTAGCTCAGGAGGTGGAGCTAATCGGAGGGTTGCAGGATCAATCCCAGCTCCCTGCAGAGGATTCTGCTGTTGTGTCCTTGGGCAAGACACTTAGCCCTCCTTACCTGCTGGTGGTGTCTATATTCAGCAGTCTCGCCTCCATCAGTGAGGCCCAGGGCAGCTGTGGCTACGTTGTAGCTCATCACTATCAGTGTGTGAATGGATGAATACACTGTAGTGTACAGAGCTTTGAAGCCCCCTGACTCTGAAAGTGTGGGTCGTTTATTTTAAGGTAGGAGGATGATTTACAACAACCCTTCCCCCTCCATCAGTGGGACTTTCTGACGAGTCAGCTCTTCAGGAATGAAACTAATAAGATATAATGATGCTGTCGCAAAAGCATGTGTCCTGAGGGGCCAGAGACATGCCAGACTTCACCTGTGAGTGGCTAAGGCTGGTGCTGCTGGCTCTTCCAGAATCAGAGGAGCAGATCGAGAGGCATCAATGCTCCAGGCAGGGGCTGACGTCCCCCGGTGGGAGGGCAGCTAGCAGCAGGAAAACAGGCAAAAACAAGAGACCCTCTTGATGATTGTTCAGAGATTTTTAGCTGCTGTGAAGGAGGGTGGTGTTGCACAAGAGAGGAAATGGCATGTCTTTATTGCAAATGATGTCTAAATGCATCCAAGCATAAATAAACAAGGTGGCTCAGGGCTGGATAAGCAAACTGCTGACATTTGCTGTAAAAGGTTTACATAACAGTGGACATGAAAGCGTAAGATGGTGATTAAGATATTCAGGTATTTCGTTTATCTTTGACTAAATATGATGATTATGAAATCCGCCTGAGCACACCCATCATCCCTGGACGTAAAGTTCAAACCCTAACCCACACGCAAGTAAAAAAATAAATTAAAATTATCCATGAAAGCAGAGAACAATCGAACTTCTGAAATGTCCCAAATGGCACCAAATCACGACAAGAGTCGTCTCAAGGAGCTTCACACAGTAAACACTCCAGTACAGGTCAGAACCCAGCAGGTCGCATCGAGTCACTGACTAGAGTCAGAGTCTTTACAGCGATCCTCAAACTAAGCAAGCATCATCAGGAGAGGGAGAATGTGAAAGAGCAAGTCACCCCCATTACGTTCTCGACTCCAGCTAAGAAAACCCAGCCCATTCAACTGGGTAGACACTGGGAAAGATTTGGGAATGAAACGGGTTGTAAAATAATAATTTATCTTTCTTTGTGTTCAGTTATTATTACAAGGATTTACAACCAAAAACCCCACAGCTGGGTCCAGGAATTATCACACACAAAGCAAACTAAATAGCTGGCATGTCTTTACCCACACATGATCTTTAACTGGTACAAACAAAACAAAAAAGATTCTAGCGCTAGTAACAAAATACCACCAAGTCCAAAACAAATCCTCTCCACGCTTTGCTTCAATATGTTACAGCCCCGCGTCTCGTGACCCATTTAAACTTTGAATGACATTTCTAGGTCAAAGTGTTGTCATACAGTAACTGCTCACAAGGGTCATCACAACATTTATCATCTCATTGCCCCTGTTAGCTATGAGGGGGCTTTAGTTTTTTCTAATAGCATTGCCATGATCACTTGAAACCCTAAGAAAACAGCCCATCCCCCAACCAAGCGTGTTGTTTAGATGTAACATGTGCAGGTTCACACTTCCATTTGAACCATTTTATCTGGTGAAGAACAAGAGTGGCTGCCCCTGAAACATACAAGTTAGGCCACCCACTCTCTTTCCCCCTATGCATTTCAAGGGCAGGCACCTAAAAAATGTCCCTTGTCTTCTACCCGTCTTTCATCAGCTGCCACGCCCCTTTCAGAGTCTCTCGATTCTCTTCCATCTCTATTCTGATGCTTCAGCAGATTGTCTTCACCACATCTAGATCTAACTAATCTGCTTCCCCGCTAGAGAATTAATTAGATATTTGGTAACAAGCATTTATACAGGTGTACCCAATAAAGTGGCCAGTGGGTGCAAAAGAAAACTCGGGTTATTATTTAAATTTTTTCCCAACATCTCTTTCTTATCTAAATATTCCTTGGTCACACTACTTTCACTCGTGACACTTTTGATGTTTAAGACAGCTGAGAAGTGGAGAGGGCTGTTTGGTTTGGAATGCTCCAGCTAGCCACCTCTAGAGAGGTGCAGCAAGCCACTAGACCCGTCTGTGTGTGAGCACGCACACCCCGTCTCTGGCAACAATCACCACAGTGAGACGGCCCCCTCTCCACACTCACATGCCTGCTCTCGTCAGCCTCCTCCAGAGGTCACATGAGCAGGGTCAACCCGTCATTCCGTCAGAAACCCACACCTTGACGTGTCGTGTCATCTCCTCTGGCCTGTGTAGCAACATTCGGTCATTACGGTCTCAGAAACAACCAAGAGGTCATCTACTGACATCCCTAACAAATCAAGTTTCACAATCATCTCACAACTTTTAAGTTTGCAGCATGAATTTATGAAACAGAATCTCAATTATGCACAGAAATGTGACTTTAACCTTTAATTTGAATCACATTAAAGTATTAGTATTTTGTTAGAATGAATCAGGATCGTTAATATGATAATATGAGGTTTGAGACCACAAGCTGTTTGCTCTCTAAAGCTTTCATGCTCCCCCAGTGTTCTCCTCACTGAAATGTCAGAATGAAACGTGCTTCTGTTCATCTGTGTGGACTAGACGTGGTGGGAAAACAGACCATAGAGCCCTCTCCAGCGTGAACACTGGTCGGATTTCTCAGCACCCCTAAACCTCCTGCTCCACAACTGCACACACAGACAAGTGAAGCATTTTGCCCTTAAAGTTCACATTTTAGAAATATGTCCAATCAGCTGATATTGGCATTAAAATGTAATCAGAAATGATTGGTTATGACTCTTTTACTGACACGACTTTTACATAGCAAACATAAAACTCTTCAACTGCTTCTCTCACTCAAAACGTCAAAAAACGACGGAGCTGAGGTTTGGTTTTTGAGAAATTATCTGTTTGGCACAAACTTCAATAGAAGTTGTATTCTGCATAGATCATGTTTCAGGTTTAAAGACTGAGGAGCACCATGGTTACCTGAAATGACTGTATTTATTATGACCTTGCATATATTGATACCAAGCTAGCTACATCAGCATCAGACATCGAGTTAGACTAAATCAGGACATCGGTAAAAACCTGACAGAGAACATCCCTAGTTGGAAGCACCCGAAACTGTTAGGCAGAAAAACAATTAGGAAGCAGAGATTCATAAAAAGGGGCCGTGTTCATTTGAGAAGTTTTTCTAGTGAACATCCAGCTCTGATCCCTCTAGCGCAGCGGTTCCCTAACTTATTTAGCTGCGCACCCCCAGCCCCACATCAGGGCTTAGCACTGCAGACATAAAATAGAGTCAACTGAAAAAACAACAACCTATATGTTATTATTCAAGAAGTTTATTCACTGTTAACAACAAATCACAATGAACTAAACAGCTCTCCCAGGTGTCAGCCTGTAGTCGGTGTAGCACGGCAGTATGAACGACCTCAAATAACCAGAATCCTACCTAAAACATCTGTTTAATTTAGCTACAATATCTGATGTAAAGGTTGGTATTTACGCTCATATTTAGATATTTAAAATGTTTTTTCTTTTTTAAAATAATATAAAAATTTAGATTATATTTCTCACAGTTAATCAATATTTTCTGTATATTTGCAGGAGTTTTGATTAACGTATAAAAAACTGTGTGTGTAAAGCTGGTTCAAACACCTGCCTTCATTCAGTTTTATCGTCTTTTGGAAATATGAAAATGAGAAAATCACGAGCCCTCTCCACTGTGGAATGCATAGTTGTCCATCCCCGTGCTGCCATCTCTGGACGGCTCAGAGTTCTTTGTGAGTGTTGTCACTGTCCAGGGTCCGCTGAGTGGGTCCCGGCGTTGCTCTGGAGCCTGCCTCACGTACCGGTAGCAGAGAAACAGGAGGCCACTGATGAGCATTAGGATGGAGGCAAAGATTCCCATTCCAATGGCTGAACCCACGCTCTGCCTGACAGGAGCAACAGGGAGGTAGAACTCAGGGGGGAAGTCTATGGTGCTGTTGTTCAGAACAGAGGTCATGTTCCACACCAGAGGAACCAAAGAAATTGTTGCGGTGAGCAAATAAAGGACTCCTGTCATCACAAAAACCATCCTAATGTTGCTACGGTTTTCCACGGAGAAGTAGGCCATCCTCATGGCCACTGCAGCGCTGACATTCCCCACAAGGCCAGAGATTACCGCCAGCATCATCAACACCTGAGCTAGATGAATCTCCGCTGGAACAAAAGTGTCCAAGATGCTGATGCTCTGACAGTTCTCTGTCCTAGGAAGGACGTGGCTGTAGAAACACGCTCGCCAGATGCCCACCCAGGCTACGCCTGAGGTGATGACAGACACATCAGCCACATACCAGAGCCGCCACTCGTTGATGCCAGCTGTTGCCATGGTGAGGATCCATGCCACAAACCCGGTTATTAGTCCCAGGAACTGCCAGTGAGCTGTGTGGGCCACGTAAATCATTCTGTAACTGGTACTGATTAAAACCGGAGACAGCTGCAGTCTGCCATGACTCCTACAGAAATGCAAGAAATGGGCAGTGGTTGGCATAAATACACATTCATGCTTAGGAATTTGTTTTACATTTTTTTAAAGCAGCTAATGAGTCCTCATGAAATATTTTCACCCCCATTTTCTTGATCCAGGGATTTTGAAATGCTAGCGTAGCTAATCCACAGCAGAGCAGGTAGAAATTTCTTTATGGTATTTATTTATTCATCCAATAAAAAAAGTGCTTTTAAAAAGTTACACTTAAAGAATAGGAAGTAATTTCTTTTGCATTTTACCATGCATTTGAGGCACTAAGGGGTTTTGATATGATGGAAGATAATTGTAACAAAAACATTTGTATTATTAGGATAGTAATAACAATGTAAGATTCAAACGTGCCCCTAATCTTTCCTTTTACTTAATGTTTTTCTTCCAGATTGAACTCCAACATCACTGTGGACGAGTTTAGTCCTGTTCTTCTAGTTCAGCCATGTCGGAGGGTTTCCCAGCATGAACAACCTGTCTAAGGTCAAACTTTCTCCTTCAGTTTTTTCTACTTGACAGCAGAATTCATGGTTTCATTGATGACAGCAAGTGGTCCAGGTCCTGAAGCAGCAGAGCAGCCCCAGACCATCATATTACCACCACCATGCTTCACTCTGTGTGATGTCATTCTGAAACGGTGTTGTTTTACACCACATGAAACGAGACACACATTGTCTCATCAAGGTTTATTGGTAAATGTGAGAGGTGCTTTAGCCTGCTTCATGTTGTCAGAAAGGTTTACTGAAGTGAATTCTGAAGTCTGCTCAGGCCTGGATGAGACTGGTGGAACTGAACTCAGCGTTCCAATGTATTGATCCAGGTTATTATTGTGTGATACAGAAGTTTGTTTATAAGACCAGGAGAAACTGATGGGAACCCTTGTTTAATAACACTGTTTTTTTAAACCTGTCCTGTCAGTTGAAGCAGAAAGCATTACTGTATGTTCTTACCAGCCATGCAAAGCAAATCATTGCATATTTCATCTGATTCAAATAAGAGTTCATTTATATGGAATGTTATTTTACGAGCAACAAAAAATAACTCATGTATTTGTTGAACCTCTCCTTCATTATAAACACTCAGTACTTTGGTCATGCCTACAATAAAACCTGCAGCCTAGCTTTACCACCTGATTGCCTCCAGTTTTCAGATAAACATCTGAAAAGGCTTTTTTCTTAACTACAGAACCAACTGGAACATGATTAAAAGCCATGACAAAACGGGTTTGATAAGTTTGCTCATACCCCCCCCCCCCCCCAAACATCTGTCTCCCAACACTAAATGTTTAAAGGTCGTACAGTAAAGAATTCAACTCCATTTCCTCGTCTCACTCACCTCTGAACTTGCTTTCAGCGAGCGCAGAATCCATCCACAGATGCTGCGTCTGTACAAACCACCTCAGAACTCTACATTTTACTTCCCTCATGTGTGACTTAACCCACCTGTAACACCAGACTCTTCTTGCCTTGTCCCACCAAGGTCCTTAGCTTCCTGGTTATCGGTGGAGAACAGGGTGTGGTGGAGTTAATGGTTGACTCTGGAGAAGAAATCCTTTAAACTCCACTTTCAGCAGACTCTTTATTGGACATGAGGGAATCAGCTGATGAAGTGTGTGAGAGAGTAACAAACCACAAGTCTCATTTAATCCATGTAAATATTTGACCAACCAAATAACTTCATTTCATATTTAGAAGCAAGACGATGGACTGGGTTTTAGAAGATCAGTAACTGTGCGTTCAGGAACAAAACAGTGAGGTCACAGAATCACGTGGTCAGGTGAGAAATGGTAATAATCTGACAAAGATCTCGTCATCAGCTAAACTTCATCCAGTCATATTATTGTGTTTTCTACGGAGGGACCGTTGCTCCAGCGAGACCTCTAAAGGTGACAATAGCATCAGGTAACATGCTAAAGGATGCTAAGGTGGAACATTTTACTGAAATATTTGGATTTTACCGATCATGCAATAAAAGAGACACAAAACACGATAAATACTCATCAGTATGTAACACACATCAGGTGGCAGGCTGTTCAGATCAGCTGATGACTAAATACCGTTCCACTTTGCATGGAGTCAAAAGCCTACAATAAATTACTAAAAAAACACAAACTTACAGGTAAAAATGGCATTCTGGGAGAACGGATGTAATGGTCGCTGGTAGATCCGACTGGTCTAAGTGATGCAGGTATTTTACTCAAAGATAAAAAAACCAACAACCTCTAGTCTTGTGTTTGGGACAGGTTTGTGTCTGCAGGTTCTGATCTTTGTCGCCCTCTGCTGGTGAAGGTCCAACCTGGAACAGATGATGAGCAGTTTCTGTGTTGTAGGACTAAACCCGTCTCACAGAACCAGCCTCTGATCTACGGGCAGGCTGTCCGTCAGACACTTAAGCTGCTCCTCTCCAAGTTTGATTTTGTCCTCCAGCTTTCGCTGCTCAATGATGAGAGCTGACTTCATCTTCACAAAGTGCTCATAGTCTGTGAGGCTGTCCTCTGGCAGGTAGCTCGTTAGGATGTCGTAAACGACACGCTCTCGACGGTCCAGGTTCGCTTTTAGTTCCTTTGCGTCCTCGTGCTGTCGGATCAACAGCTTCCTCTTCTCCATTAATGTACGCTGATGAAGAAGAAGTTCACACATGAGAATTTCATCGGCTATGTAAACAAAGCACGTTAGGGTTTGCTCACCCTCTCCTCAGGAGTAGTGTCGTCCTCCGGGCTGTTCAGAGCGTTCTCCACTCTGGCCAAACGGCCCGAGAGCGACAGCAGGAGGCTCACCACTTTGTCCAAGTCTCCCACAAACATCCGGAACTTCTCCAGCTCATTTGGTTTGCAGACCTGCTGCACTTGGACCTCCACCTCGTCTCCCAGAGCATTATTGTCCAGAACGTCCTCCTGAAGACTCTCCCTAGCTTCCTTCAACACCTGCAGCTTCTTGCTGAGGCTGTCGATCAGCTCTTGCTGGAACAGAAAACAGAACACGAAAAATCAAACAAAACTTCATTTTTGTCCAGACAGATAAAGAATCTGTTTTGGTACCTTCTTGTTGGCCAAATCAATGTCCAGTTCCTCTTCAGAGTCTTCCTCCTCAATCTGCTCCTGCATGTCCTTCATTTTGATAAGAAGCTCAGCTTTGGGGGCAGATATGCTGTAATATGTAGAACTGGTCACCATGGAGACAGTTGCTGCCACGCTGTCCTCCTTTTCTCTGAAATGCAAATAACTCAGTGAAGTTAGGCACATTACCAAACAGAACTCTTTCCAGTTTAGGGAAAATGACGCTGAAATGATTTTCCATGGAAGTCCCAAAGTAAATCATATGATGTAAAATGTTAAAATGTCCTATCTAAGGAAACCCAGCAGAAGCATCGAGTCACTGACTTGTTGTGTCAGAAACTTTACAGCAATCGCCATACTAAGCAAGCATGTAGCGAAAGTGTGAACCCCCCCTTCCAGCTGGGGGTGGATTGAACACACTGACATCAGGTATTGATGAACAGATGATTACAGATGTGATCGTAGTTAGAAACCTAATAATGACTTCTGTCCAGACAAAATGGGCTAGAACTGAGTGGACTAGCATATTTCTCATGATTACACATAACTATACATATACACATACATATTATACATATATATACATACACACATATACATATACACATATGCATATTATATATATACATATATATATATACACACACACACATATATATATATATATATATATATATACATATACATGTATGTATATATGTACTGTATATGTATATGTATATATATATATATATATATATATATACATATACAGTACATATATACATACATATACATGTATGTATATATGTACTGTATATGTATATATATATATATATATATATATATATATATATATATATATATACACATATACACGCTGAAGATTTATGTACAACTAAGAGTTTCTTTAGACTCAGTCTATTCTTAAATCAGTGCTGGAATCCTTCATGTCCTGCCTTTAAGCTGTGTAACGCACCTTTCCTCCACAGGTCGGGAGTTTGCTGGTTTTGTCGGCACCTTCCTGCGCTGGTGAGCTTCTTCTAACAGCTGCTCGCCCTGAGGGAAGAGACCCTCCATGAGGTCCATGGTGGTCTTCATCTTGCTCTCATCCAGAATATCAGCCAGCGATTTATCCTTCCCCGTGATGTCCCGCACCAGCTCCTCTCTCTTCTGCTCCTCATCCTCGCTCAGCCGTGCGGTTTCCTGCGTGCTGCTGAGCTGGTCTGAGGCCTGCAGCCGTGGCTGCTGGCTGTTGGAGCTGCAGTCCTCTCCTACAGTGGTCATGTAGGAGTCCTGCTGGGACACTTGCTCACTCTGACGGGTAAAGGCACAGAACAGAGAGTCCTGTCCCAGACTGGCCACTCCAGGCCCTTCAGCTTCCATGAGTGGGAGGTCGCTTTGCTGCAAGAATGGAGAATTCTCCTTCTCTACATTTTTATCCGAGTGGACAATCCTGATTGGAACTTTTCTCGCTGTTGTATTCTGGTTTTCTATCTTATGCTCCATCCTGAAATGTTAAAAAAAGAAAGAAATGAGAAAGCATCTAAAAACCCAAACATCAGGAGTGATTTAAATGTTCCACAGCAAGATGCTAACTGGAATCTTTTCCTTCATGCCCAGTTTACTGAAATATCTGAGACAAGTAGACTCCTCCCACCCCTTTGGGTTCAGATAGCTGCAATAATCCTAAATGACCACAGATGACTCTGATTTGTTTGGAATTAAGAAAATGGACAAAAGGTTTAATGTTTCCATGTTTCAGCATTTAGGAGGACTTTCTCTGAACTGCTGGGAGGCGTCAGTGGGAATGCAGAGAATCTTTCTAAATGACCACGGGTGACTGAACAAAGGAGCTGAAGCAAGTGCTCTTCTGCTAAATCAGTGTTACCTGTTTGGTTCCTCATCATGAAGAGAGACTGGAGGCTTGTCGCTGAGTCTCTGTGGAACAAACTGTGGAGAGGGCGAGCGCTGCCCCTCCATCTTAAAAAGCCCTGAAGGTCTGCAGGAGGAGGCCGGGGGAGAGGGGGGATGCTGAGATGTAGACAGATGATGCACTGCCTCTTGTCCTTTGTCCATGAGTCCTTTGTCCTGCTCACAATCTCTCTTTGCAGAGTAGCGGGAATAAAAAGTGGAGCTAGTTTCAAAGTTCGCAGAGCAGTGGGTGAAGATGTCACTCTGGGACTTGGTGGAGGGCTGGTGGGAGTTGACCTCCTGGCATGTGGTGGGGGGAGGCTTCTCCAGCGCAGAGGGCTTCTTCCTGGGTCCAGACGACAGCTCTGTGTGTCTGTGGCCGTCGGAGTGAGAGGGGGCGGGCTCAGTCTGACTGTGAGAAGTTGACGTGGGTTTGTGGTTCATGGTGGCAGCAGCAGCTCCTGGCATGGGCGGAGGGGGTGGTGCTGGGTACGTTTCAGCCTCTACGGGCTTTTCTCCCACTTCGCAGTCACCTGACCTGCTGTCAGGGAACCTGAGGAATACAAGGCAAAGCTTTTAATTACACAGCCAGGCAGCAGACGATCATCGGCAACTCACTGAAATAACACACGGTGGCAGAGGCCTCGTCCATCCCAGCAGCCACTATGATTATGACTCCATGACAACACAAACTCTCCCTCTGCTCCCCAAACTCCTTCCTGTTAGCAGCCCGCTGGCGGCCTGAAGCGGAATTTTCCAGTTCCCACAAAGTCTGAAGAGGGATAAATAATCGTCCAGAGCAGAGAAGCAGGCATGATCACTTTTTCCTCCCTAAATCTCCTTCACAGCTTTAACAGGGACTCTCAGGAGCTCCATGGTGAGCCAAAGGAGGCGCTAGTAAACAAACTTAAAGCTCTAAGTGTTCCGTCGCTCGGTGTAATTTAACCTGGCAGCCTGGTGAAAAGCAGTCATTAACTGATCCATCCGAGCGGTGTTGTGTGCTTAGAGGAACACCAAACAGTCTAATGCATCAGCTTCATGCACAGCAATTACATTTCCAGGCGTTCTCTAATGAATTCAGCTGGGCGCACTCAGACAACACCAACACAAAAACCACGCAGCTCTGATTAAAGGCACGACTGATTCTTCAGCCACAAGATACGACACGGTGACTGCTGGGCAGACAGACGCCATAACCCACAGCTCCGGATTGGAGTCTTTACAAGATGCAACACGTTACCCCAAAACAAATGGCTGCTGAAGCCTCAGCCTGGACTCAGCAGTGGGAGGAAAGCATGGAGCCTGGTGCTGGGGAGACTACTGAGACGATCAGCGACTGAAAAATAAATCCAGGTTCAGGTCTTCACTGAGTCTGTCGTGTTGCACCAAACAGTTTTATTACTAAAAACAATCTAGAAAAAGTTGATCACATTCACCACCACCGAGCCTTAAACATGTAAAGATGCAGAAGACTGAAGCATATTTACTTATTATGGTATGGACCCACTCACCCTGAGAGTGTCTGTCTGCCGGCTCGCTGTGACTGAAGCCACCTGTGGTGTGTCCTTCCACCTGTATCTATATCACCATCAGGGTGGGGCCCACCTGACTAAGCTCCTCTCCTACACGGCTCCATAACAATGACATCCAGTGCACTGTTGTTGTAACGCAAACACGAGTCATGTTGGTGTGATTCCAACAATGTAGTTGCTCAATATCAGTTACCCTCCTCTGAGTTTCACTTGTTGAGCTTTAATGCAGGAAGACTCCGGAAGTACTGGTTGTAGACGTCATTTAACCACATTCACACCATCAGGAGTTCAATATCTGTAGCCAAAGAATGTGTTTAATGCAAATAACTTCATGATAATGTGGGTTTAACCTTGTTATGGTAAAATAAAAATCCTCCTCTACACTGAATTCAGTTGGGAATTAAGAAAAAAACACTTCTTACCGTCAGCGTTAATGTTGACGAGACATTTTATTTTGGTTTTAGTTTTTTTGACTAAACTTCCTTTTAATTTTAGTCACAATTTAGTCATCTAATTTGGTTTAGTTGACTAAAATACATGTATTTTTTTCTGATGCAATAATTTCCAACATCTGAAAAGGAAATTTTAACTGCATCTACTTGAAACTGTTAAGAAATATGAAAAGTTCACATTTCACACTTTAGATTAAAAAACTATTTAAAATTGTTTGTACAACAATTATTTTGGGAAAATACTGAATTGAACACTGACAGGTTAAAATAGTGCCTCTCAATTTTAATAAATGGTAAATGGTCTGTATTTGATGCACTACCTTCTAGTCCTGGAACCCCCCAAGGCGCTTTACAACACAATCAGCCACTCACCCATTCACACACACATTCACACACTGGTGGGGATGAGCTACGATGTAGCCACAGCTGCCCTGGGGCGCGCTGACAAATCTGAATAATGTGCAGTAATATCAGTAAACGTGTAACGGCATGAAGGTTCTCTGATTTGTGCCAAAGGTCACATTTGGGTCAAGCTGGGTCAAGCTGGGTCAAGCTGGGTCAGGCTGGGTCAAGCTGGGTCAAGCTGGGTCAAGCTGGGTCAGGCTGGGTCAAGCTGGGTCAAGCTGGGTCAAGCTGGGTCAGGCTGGGTCAAGCTGGGTCAAGCTGGGTCAAGCTGGGTCAGGCTGGGTCAAGCTGGGTCAAGCTGGGTCAGGCTGGGTCAAGCTGGGTCAGACAGTACTTTGAATCCACAGATTAAACCCACGGAGCCACGATGTCTGCTCAAGATCATAACACCATCTGCTGTTCCGTCCCAGAAGGACACTTCAAGCCACGATGATAATTAAATAATAATTAATAAACTTATGATTTCATTACTGTTTAAATAATCATTACAACATGATCACTTGGTTCAGATATAAAGGAATTTTAATGACATGAAATGGATTATTGTGCTTTGGGTATTATAATGATAATTATTATAATGTTTATAAAGATGTGCTCAGCAAAGAAGACCTTCACCCTGCCAGCAAAAACAGAGTTCAGATAAACAATAACTGCTTCGCATGTTTCTGACGCATGAGCAAGCTTTCTTCCAGAGAGAGGGGGGTGTTCTGAGAGTTTGGTAAAGACTAACCATCCAGTTCTGAACAAGACATCATCCTGAGGAGTCAGGGACGGCCGCCCTGAAACCTCTGCCAAGCTGTTCTGTCACGCCGACAAGAACGGCTAAAGAACAACGAAACTAACGAGCTAACGCAAGACTCTCCCAGAGTCATTGATTTCTGAAGTTAAGTAAGACGAAAACGTGCATCTGCCAGCCGTGTACCCGGCTACCACTCTGGACCAGAGCATCGCGTCTTCCTGCCAGCCCCGAGCGTCATCTTGGATGAACCCATCCTCCGATCTCCGGATCCACAAGAGGGTCAGCCCTGTTTGGGTGAGGTAGAACACGACAGATGACGTTTGATGCTGTTTTCTCTCAAAATAACTCAGTTATCCGCAAAACATCATTTTGACCAGAACGCTTCCATTCCCTCTGAAAGAAACCTTCTGAGAACTTCATCCAAAACTCACCATTCTCATTTGTAGCTCCATCCACACAGTTTGCTTTTAAACAAGTTTAATATCAAAGCTGTTGAGAATTGTCATTTTTATAATTGTCGCTTCAAATTTTCAGTTTAAAAATAGTTAGTAATAAATTTCTTCATTTTAAAACTTGCCTCCTTATTGAAACGAAACAGGAAAGGGTTGCATTTCCAGTTTATCGAATGAAAAGAATCTTACTGAATCTTCTGTTTAATAAATAGACTTTTGCTATTAATTTAAGTATCTTAAATTAATTTTCACACCATTACACATGACAGGAAATGACATCATACCATCAAAAGATTAAAAGGTGTTAATGATGCGGAGGTAAACTAAAGGTAAGAATTGTTTTCAGGTAGGTTTATTAGTTTTTATTAGACTGATTGATCAAGGTGGGACACCTGAATGGTTCTCCTCACAAAACCACCACTAGAGCACAGATCCTAACGGCTGCAACAGCCACGGAAATAAAACAATTACACAACAAGATGCGTGCTTGTCACGGCTGCCAGCCTGAAAGGGGAAAAGCAGCCAGGATCACCCGGCTCTGGACACCGCCCCTCCTCCTCTCTCTTCCAGGCTGCTGAGGAGCACAGCTGAGCTGAATCCTCCTGATGAGCCACACCTGGATAAAAGGCTGTGCCTTCAGCAGTCTGGGAGGCAGCAGTGCAGGGGTTCTTCGTTTTGTTTTAACCCCTTCGTTCGTTCGAGCCTTCGTCTTGATGAGTTTAACTTTTATAGTTGAACTCCTGAGTGATCCAGAGGGATCGTTTTAAAGGTTAACTTCGTCTGTTGCAATTTTATTGACTTCGTTTTTCAAACACCGTTGTAACCAGGTGTTTTAATGTTGGTAACTGCTCTTTTAATGTTAGCCTTTTAGAGTATTTTTGTTTAGCGTTATCTTAATAATGCTCGCCATCTGTTTGCTTGTGTTTTTAATACCTTTTTGTACAAATAAACCCATTTTAAACTCCTCCGCCAGTTCTTATGTTATCCCCATCCTTCACATTTTACCATCTCATGTTGGGGACGTAACAGTGCTGCTCCGTGAGCTCGGTTCGGTTTGCTGAGCTCCAGCAGCGTGCTGCTAACAACACTTTTATAACCGGGGAAACCCAGGATGTGTAGATCATCACATCTACTGCTTTTACTTCCAGCCGCGGACAGTTTCTCCCTTTTCCCTTTTTACTCCTCGTTTCTGTCAGTTTCCGCTGTTGCCTCTTATCAACAAAAATGTCGGTCAACATTTGTCACAATTGAGTCATTATTGGCGTGTATGTTTTTTTATTTTTAGTATGCAGAAGTTTATTGTTCCGTCACAACAGCAGCGTTCAGCTTTAGGGGCCGGGATCAGTCTACAACCCTCCGATTACAGGACAACCTGCTCTACCTCTTGAGCTACCGTTGCCCCATATCACCAGTACCGATCATACAATACCACAGATACGCATCCTAATGGGAAAAGTTCCTACTAAGTAAGTAAAGTAAGTAAAAGTTTATTTATATAGCGCCTTTCTCAGATATAAATCACAAAGCGCTGTACAACATGATAAAGATCAGGTAACCAATGAAAACATCAGAAAAACAATAGCAGTGATAAACGTAGAAAATAAAATCATGAGTATAAACAAAGTGAAGGTGTGAACCCGAACAAAGCCATCTTTTAGAAACATGTAGGGAGGGAACGCCTGGATGAAAAGGTGAGTTTTTAGATGGTTTTTAAAGACCTCTACAATGTTAGAGAGACGGAGATTTGAAGGTAGACTGTTCCAAAGTCTGGGTGCAATAGTCTGAAAGGCCCTGTCCCCTTTGGTTTTCAGTCTGGTTCCAGGAACAGCCAGGAGGTTTTCAGATGTGGATCTAAGGTTCCGAGAGGTGGTGTGTGGGGATAAAAGCTCAGATAGGTAGCTTGGAGCCTGGTTGTTAAGAGCTCTGTAGGTCAGGACTAAAACTTTAAACTGTATTCTATATTCTACCGGGAGCCAGTGGAGGGACTGTAAACCTGGAGTGATGTGAGCTCGTCTGCTGGATTTGGTTAGGAGTCTGGCTGCTGCATTTTGGATGGCTTGAAGGCGTGAGAGGGAGGTTTTGCTGAGACCAGTAAAAAGAGCGTTACAGTAGTCTAAGCGTGATGACACAAAGGCATGGATGATTTTTTCCAGATCTGCAGTAGAAACCAGTTTACGGACGTTTGAAATGTTTCTCAGTTGAAAGAAACAAGAGCGGGAGATGGTTTTGACGTGTGAGTCTAAACTTAAAGCTGGATCAAAAATAACTCCTAGGTTTCTAATGTTGGCCTTGGCTGATGGGCAGAAAGAGGCAATTTCTTGCTCGATTGTTGGCTGAAGTTCCGGGGGTGCAGCGATCAGGGTCTCTGTCTTGTTAGCATTGAGGACAAGAAAGTTGCTGGACAGCCAGTTACTGATCTGGGTCAGGCAGAGTACAAGTGTGGCCAGCCTGTCCAACTGGTGTGGCATAAAGGACATATAGAGCTGAATATCATCAGCGTAGATGTGGTAGGAGATGTCTGGGAAAGACTGAATGATGCCAGCTAGGGGAAGAATATAGAATGCGAATAGTAGAGGCCCTAGAACTGAACCTTGTGGGACCCCGCATGTTAGAGAGGCAGTATCTGAAGAGGAGGTTTCTGACTTCACTGTGAATGTTCTGTTAGTGAGATAGGAAGAGAGCCAGTCTAGAGCAGAACCTGAAATCCCAGCCAGGGCATTTAACCTAACAAGGGTCTTCATTAAATTTCCATTCCTCAAACCCATAAAGGTCATCAATACCTCAACCTCCAGTAATAGCCCAAAAGTCTGGTCAACGCCAGGTCGGTAATGAATAAAACTTTCATTTTGAAAGACTTCTTTGTTGCACAGGGGTTGGAACTCCTGTGCATATGTGAGAGCTGGCTTCCTATGGGAGATTCGAGTGCTTTACTGGAACTGCTACCAGTGGGTTGTAGCTGTTTTAATGTCCCGAGGTCTTCTGGCAGAGGCGGTGGACTGGTTGTCGTGTATAAATCTCACTTCAACTGTAAACAGCTTATTCCATCAAATCCTCCTTCCAGCTTTGAAATGTGCCTGTTTGAACTTGGCCCACCTCCTCTGTTGCTCGTGGCGTTGATATATCGTCCTCCTAAATTTGATGTGGACTTTTTAAAGGACTTCTCTGACCTCCTGTCTGTAAACATGCTAAAGTATGATCATGTTTTGATTCTTGGTGATTTTAATATTCATGTGTGTTGCCCTGATAAGCCATTCGCCAAAGACTTTTTACATCTGTTGGGCTCCCTTAATCTGTCACAGTGGGTCCTGGGTCCTACTCATGTGCAGGGACACACCTTGGATTTAGTGATGTCTATTGGTCTCTCTGTTGCTGGTGTAGAGATACTGAGCCCGGTTTTTTCTGATCACTCGCCCATTTTATGTGATTTTAACTTGCCCTGCGTGTCTGCTGTGGCTTCCTCTCATGTGAGATTCCGTCGTGTTTTAAATGCAGCAAAGGTTATTGAGCTTGGTGAGCTCCTATGTGCAGAAGGAAGTGAGCTACACACAATGTCACTTAATGCAGAGGAGCTTACACTTCAATTTGACAGTATTTGTAAAAACATTTTGGATAAAATTGCACCTCTTAGGATTAGAAAGAAGAGGCCTAGGCCAGAACCATGGCTCTCTGATGATGTTCGGGCCTGCAGGCAATCCTGTAGGAGGGCAGAAAGGAAATGGAAGAAAGACAGACTCCAAGTCTCTCGTGAGATATTCAGAGAATCTTTGTTTAGCTACCAGCAAACTCTTAAGGAAGCAAGGGTGAAGTTCTTTGCTGATATCGTGGAAAAAAAATTCTCATGATCCACGCACTCTTTTCTCCGTAGTCAATTCGCTACTTGAGTTCTCTGATTCTAGCGCTTTGCCTCCCACAGTTGAAAATTGTAATGACTTTCTTCACTTTTTTGTTGATAAGGTTACATCTATTCGAGCTGCCATTACAAACTCACCATCTGACTCTCTACTCCCAGAGCCGCTCCAGGCTACACTGGAAACATTTGAGACTGTTACATTATCAGACTTGGAAAAACTGGTCGCTCAGCTCAAACCTTCTGGCTCTCCTTGTGATGTGCTGCCCCCTAGAATTTATAAAGAACTCTTTCCAGTGATAGGCCCTTTGCTGTTGGCAATCATAAATGGCAGTCTTACTTCTGGTATGGTTCCGTCCTCGTTTAAGAAGGCTGTTATTCATTCTATGTTAAAAAAAACGGGGCTGGATGTGACAACCTTAGCTAATTACAGGCCCATCTCAAAACTCCCTTTTCTTTCCAAACTGCTGGAGAAGGTCGTGTATTCACAATTGGTTGCCTTTTTGGACACAAATGATTTATGGGAAACCTTTCAGTCAGGGTTGAGGAAAGGTCACAGCACTGAATCTGCTCTTTTAATGGTTTTTAATGACAAGTTTTTAGCCTGTGACATGGACAATGATGTTGTTCTGCTACTGCTTGACTTATCTGCAGCTTTTGATACAGTTGACCACGAAGTCCTTCTGGACCGACTACAGCATTGGGTAGGGATAACTGGGCAGGCCCTCCAATGGCTTCGCTCTTATCTTCAAGACAGGACATTTAGTGTTCAGATGGGTGAGGTAATGTCACCCAGCATGAAACTTCGTTGGGGTGTGCCACAGGGCTCTGTCCTTGGTCCTCTCCTATTTGCAGTGTATTTGCTTCCTCTTGGAGTCCTCCTTCGCCAGCATAATATGAAATTTCATTTCTTTGCTGATGACTGCCAGATCTATCTCCCTCTTCAACGTGGGGAGGATAGATCTGTTTCTCCTTTACTGGATTGCTTGAAGGACATAAAATGCTGGATGGCTTCTAATTTTTTACACCTAAATGAGAGCAAAACGGAAGTTATAATACTTAGTCCTGGCAGAAGAAATGGCTCTGGTGCTGATATTGACCTTGGCCCATTGACACCCTATGAAAAGAAAATGGTCAGTAATTTGGGGATTAAAATCGACTCAGCACTTAATCTTGACACTCATGTAAATACAGTGGTGAGGTCCTGTTTCTTTAACCTGAAAAGACTATCCAGGATCAGGCCTCTGCTGTCCAGAGCTCATCTGGAGGCTGTGTTGCATGCCTTTGTCCTGTCTCGGCTGGACTACTGCAACGCTCTGTATGCTGGTCTGGCCCAGTGCACGGTTGCACGGCTCCAGTTTGTGCAGAACTCTGTGGCTAGGTTCCTGACAGGCACTAGATGTCGAGAGCACATTACCCCAGTGCTGGCTGCTCTGCACTGGCTCCCGGTAAAATATCGAGCTCAGTTTAAAATCTTAACTCTCGTTTATAAGGCCCTCCAGGGCAGTGCCCCCCCGTATATTATTGCGCTTTTGAACAGGTATGCTCCATCTCGGGCTCTTCGCTCAGCCGAGCAGGAACTTCTGGTGGTCCCCCGGTCGAAGTTTCGATCGAGGGGTAGACGTGCTTTTTCTATTTTTGCTCCAACTCTGTGGAACGAATTGCCACTGAGCATTAGACAGGCTCCATCCCTTCAAGTTTTTAAGTCTCGTTTGAAGACTCATTTTTATCTGATTGCGTTTCAGCGCTAGGGTCACTTGAATTGCCCTAACATTATGGTTTTAACTATTCTTCTTTTTATACCGGATGCTTGATTTTATTTTGTCTGACATTTGTTTTTTTAATCGATTGGTCTTATTCCAATACCTCTTATCTGTAATACTGTTTGCTTGCTATTTTGTGATTTTATGTTTTTATCGTGCTTTTATGCCCATGTATTGAGAATGTTTTTCTTTTAATGATGTTGTTCAGCACCTTGGGCTTCGGATAATGTTGTAGAAGGTGCTATACAAATAAAATTTGATTGATTGATTGATTGAAAGTCAGAGCAGATAAGTGTTTTCACACAAGTACACAATGTCCCTTTCACACAGAAATACATCAGCAATGCTGCATTAGAAAATATAGTCTCTGATAGCTCTCGAGACAAACAGACACTCCCAAGTCCGAAAAACTAAAACATGGATTTCTGGCAGCTGTGAGCTGTTCCATTTGTTAAGGCAAACAGGCGTAGTCTGCTGTTTCAGATGTACTCACCTTGTGTCAGCGCTGAGCAGTTCTGCACATTTACTCTCCATTTGGGAATATTCAGGATCAAACTTTGCTGCTGGAACTGGACTATTCTGTACAGTTGGAAAAAGCACACATGAAGTGGTGCAAACATGTACAAACATTGAAGACTTTCAGTTGAAAACCCCAATTAACGTTCCAAAACCAAGTCACGTTTCAGCGTTGTGGTAACTCCCAGCCGGAAAAACAAATCCAGGAGGTTGATGACCCTCTATTAAGGCGAGGGCGTGTCTTTATGAACAAATATAGATTAATATTTGACTTGGCCTTTGTTCTGTGACTTCAGAAACTAACAAAATAAGCAACTGAAAAACTTCTGACATGCTAATTAAAACCAGATGGGAGCTAACAGAAGTCCTTTGTTTTACTACCTCTAACATCATGCTAAGATACCCGATATGAAGCAAGACAGAACAAGCGTACAAAAGAGTACTCCTGATAATCCAGACATTCAGATTTCGTGCCTTACCTGCCCATAGAAGTCTGCTGAGGGAGATGATCTGGACCTCTCGTGGACGCATGCACTCTTAATCCGGTCCTCTGGTCCCGTATCTAGTATGTTGTCTGCTGAAAGATACCGTCCTGAGGCTTTTTTCTCGGAGGGTTTCTTCTGTATATTCCATCTCGCCTCATACTCAGCAAATGTGCCGAGTCTCTGGTTATCTTGTACGGATTGTGGAGCGTAAGGAGCGCTTTCCGTCTTCTCTCTGTCATTGACTCTTTCCACTGTGTCCTTGGTTACATTACTAGAAGCATATTTACTCTGGTGTTTGTAAAGACTTTGGGGAGGAATGTGAGTAGGGAATTCTGGTTTCCCGCTTTCTTTTATGAGTTTCTCTTCATCTAGTGAGGAGCTTACGCTTTCAGATAGAGACAAATCTTCATTAACACCAACTCTGTGTATTATGTCTGGTTCAGAAAAAGACTGAACCTTCTTTTCTGGAGGAAAACGTTTGCGACCCCCTACTCGAGTTACCTGACCACTAGAAAGCACTGAAAGACTTGATGCCAACTCGGTGACAATCGGCAAGGGGTGGCCATCTTTCCAAGTCTGGGTTGAAGGCAAGTAGTTGGGTTGGGGATCTACTCCAGAGAGCTCCAGTAAGACCGGCTCCAGGTCTTTCCTCCTGAAAGAGGTGGCTCTAAGAACCCTTGCTTGTGCCTCCTTCAAGTTATCTTTGTAGGTGTAAGAAAAAGAGCCGTGTGCATAGGTTGAGGTGGAACTTTCTGTGGACTTCCAGACCTTTTCCTCAGCTTCGTGTTCAACATCAGGAAGGGTCGCTGCACTCTTGCTTTTTTGCAGCTTTGCTCTTCTCATCTGGATTTCGTTTCTCAGTGTGGTGGCAAATCTGTTGCCTCGGTTGACCTGTTTGCCTTCAAGGGACTCCTCAGAGTTTTCACTTCCCGTTTTCTCCTCATGGCCTGTGACATCCATGGACAGAGTGTGAAGCATCGGGGTTGCCTGAGGGCAGATCTTACTGCCCATCTGATTGTGATTTCTGGGGTCTTGAGGCATTTCTCTGAACTGTGCTGGCAGAGATCTCCGTTGTTCAGGCTGTCGTTTAGGAGGATTACTGATGTGCTGAGATTCTGCGGTTTGTGTGCTGTGTCCTCGGTGGCCTGCCCTGTTATCAGAGCTGGGTTTAACTACAGATGTTTCTGGAACAGTAGTGACTTGATGTTTGCTGTGAGCACTACTGTCTTTGTTCTGCAAGGAGTGTTGCTGCTGTTGGGGCAGATGGTACTTGACTTTGGTGCTTGTCTGCAAGTTACTGGGGCTCTGTTCATGTCCAGTCTGTGGTAGATCTACTCCAGTCCCACTCCTCCCGTCTTCTGGTATATTAGACAAAGACGGACAGCTGGGATGTGTGGGCTGACATGTAGTGACACAGTAATATCGGTTAGGTACGGAGCTCTCAGTGTTTTGGTCAGTAGTTGAGGAAGACAAGCCTAAGCTTCGTCCCTGGTTCTGGTTTGAGGAACTGTTAGCAGGTACTTCTTGTGAGCTACAGTAGTGTGGCTTTGGTGCAGATGGAGCCCATAGCGGAGGAGGACAAGTGCTTTTGTCACTATGGAGTCTTTGCTGAAAGGGCTGACTAGCGTGGGAGACATCAACGTTGGAGTTGGGATATGTCTTATTTGAGCTGTAAACCTTTTCACTGTCATGTTTAGGAGAAATGTGGCGATTTTCAGTGGAAGCCTTAGAGGCTGAGTGAGAATGAGGTGCTTCAGGGTGAGCTAGCACAAGGCCTCTTTCATGTGCCTTAGTTGCAGCAAAACTGTCACTGCGAGCGGGTGGAAGAGGAGGAGGAGAAGTGGACGAAGCAGACCTCTTTTTCTCAGGGACATACCACACAGGTGCAAAGCTTGTTCTGCTAGAAGTGGAATGGCGACATCCAGCAGAGTCTTCAGTCTGTGGACCATTGTGGCCTGAGTGAACTCCTGGCACCTGGAAATATGTGGGTCTGTCATCCTGCTTCACTCCTTCAGCAGCCAGGCTATGGCTGTTTCTGCTACTGTTGTACCTTGATCCTGGATCCCACTGACCAACTTTATGCGACACGTTCTCTGTTGAGGCAGCATTGCTTTTTGAGAGCGTGTAATCAGGTGTGCTTGAGCTGGTAGAGAAAGAGCTATAGGCAGAGTCTCGTTTCCCTCCTCCAAGGTGCTCCATGCTGTTGTTGGACTTAGCTGGTGATAGCTGCCCGGCGGGGTCTGGGTGTGAGACATGTTCTAGACTGTCCATACTGCCAAGGGAGCTGAACTGGTCAGACACCCTGCGCAGGTTTGTCTGCTCCCAATCAGTGGAAAGATCAGAGGCAGATGAACTGGTGGAACAGGACATGAAGGTAAGAAAAATAAATATATACAAAACCAGCTTCATCTAGTTGTTCTTTAAAACATATTTAGTAAAAAATAAAAAATGCTGTTAGAAATCAAGTTCTCGCTCATGCTGTGTTGTTTCTAGTGTATTTGGTTACATGAGAATCTGGTCAAGCGTTGAACATGTTGAATGATTAAAACGTTCTCAAAAAATACACATTTGAGAGTATAGAATGGTTAATGCAGTGCAAAATCCCACACTATTCATCTAAAGGGCCAATGCTCAGCTCTTGAGAGTAAAACTTCAGGATCACCTTGCATCATAAGTGGTGTGCCAGACTGCAGTGGGTGGAGACGGTCTTCTGCCAGCCTCTAATTGGCTTTCATTGAACTTGGTAGAGTGCCAGGAGTGAGGCCTGCTTATGGGTTCATTCCTCCTGCAGAAAGGCCAAGACATCAACTGAATTCAAGACCAAACCTTTAAGAAACACAGCATTTCCTTCAGAATAAGAACCAGAGAGATTAAAATCACGGTATCAGTGCAAATCACTGCAGAACAAATGTGTTTAATGTCAGTTTCATCGAATTCTTAAGCAATTACTCTGAACCAGTTTTATTTTGCTTTTTTTTAATTGAAAAAATACACACATGGAAAAAATAATACAGACTGAATCCAGATGAGACATTTACTCTCAAGCGTTACGGATGCTCGACATCAGTCTCAGTTTCAAAAATCAACATTTCATGATTTCAGATGATTAAGCTGAGATTCAGAGCCACATGTGTTTTACTCAGAGTCGCAGATCCAAAAACACCATTAAATAACAGCAACTCATATAAAGTACCTTATCTGCATTTATTTTATTTCAGAGACGTAACAGATCCTCAAAAGAAAACTGATCATTTTGGGTTAATGTAGCCAGAACTTTGTACAGCTGTCACATACCCTTTATAGCAGCTCTTTCTGCAGCAGCATGTCAAGAAATAAACAACAAACAGTTCATTTAATATTGTTATAACTATGAACACAATGCACTTTTAAACCTTACTGGTAGAAAAATCATCAAATACCTTATATGGACTAAATAATAATAAGCTAATAACATAAATCACAAGATGTTGAAAGGTTTTCCAGCAGGTGCAGGTAACGATAAACAGGAGAGGAAGAGTTGAAATGGGATAAACAACTTTCCATTACCACTAAAATGATTTCTGTGATGATGAGGAGAAGGCAGGCATGATGTAGGGGAGGAAGACGAGAACTATGCTCTACTTTTGCAGGTAAATCCACAGAACCGTACCTCATGGAACTTCGCAAAATCTTCGTAAGAAAGCTTCTTGCCACATGCACGTCATTCTCTGATGGCATTTTTTGAGCTACAATATCCACCATTCTCACTTTCCTGGGAGGCAAGGGAGGGAATAAACAGAAAGCTCACCAACAGCAAACAGGGCAAACACCACCTTTCATTTAAAGCTGCAGGTAATTTTGTGAATAGTGAAAAGGACCAAGCTTTATATAGTTATTAATATCAAAATAATCTTAGTGCGACCTGATGGGACATCATAATAAGGAACTGATGTGCAACATTATAGCGCCCTCTGCTGGTTAACATAAATAGTTTCAGGAAGAAATGAGTCAAAGGGAAACTGGGTCAAATGAGAAGCTGATGGATGGAGAAGCACAAAACAAAATACAACCAAAAGAGCTGAGGCCAACTCTCATTGAGCTGATAATCAGAACGGTGAGCTGGTTGCTCTCAGACTTGACCATATGGTCTTCAGGGGAATACGGCCCCAGCATGAGGCAGGGGGCTTAAGAGAATACAGAACATTTTCAGCCTTCTCACCACTCTGTTCAAGCTGTCGTCTGCGTCCCAGACATCCTTTCTGCCCCCAATCAGGTCCAAAGCCGGCACAGTTGGACTGGCACAAGGCTTTTCACAGGTTTACGGGTTTGTAACCTACATTGTTGTATGGAAAGATTGGTGTTTTTCACAATAAAACTAGTTCCCCAGGATAATCTTTGGAATAAAAAATAACATCTGAACTGTGTGAATTATTTTACCACCAGTTTTCAGAAAAAGTGCTTTTAAACATGTGGTTATATTCACTCACAGAGGTTCACAACTCAAGTGCTTTAGTAAAGTTTAAAAAAAATTTGAAGTTTTAAAATTGTTCTCGTAAATTACTGTTAGTATTTTCAAGAAGCTATACTTCAAAATAAACCACACGAATGATTTTTATTGGAAACGTGTCCAAAAACATCACAGTGACCTACGGAAGCACATTGACGTCAGTGCGAGAAAAAAACTGTAGGAAAGGTATGGATGTTTCCCAGTGCCAAGGAACCTCATCTTGATGTCTTGGCCCCACCTCGGTTGCCTAGGAGATACGTCATCAGGAGCCGTCAAGAAGTGTTCCAATGTTCATGTTCTACTGAGGCGTGTGTTCTCCGTTTGTTAGCGTTTAGCTAGCTGAGCAACGATACACAGGAGGTGTTTTGTAGCCTAGCCTTGGTCAAACATTTCACAGAATACGCCGTGGTATTTTCAAAAGGATGGCGGATCAGAAGCCGGCAGCTACTTCAGGGGCAAATTTCAAGTTTAAATGTAAGTCAACTAATTAAAAATGGTTTTTTGTTTTTTTTTAGATCCAAAGCAGTTATCTATGGTTGGTTAGTTGCTTAGTAGTTGCAGCTTCGGTGGCTAGTGGGTAGTAACTTGCTTATATATTAACAAATATATACACAGCTTAAAAAGTAAAAGGCTCGTTATACATTTATACTGAAACTTATACGTACAAAATATAACGTTATTTCCCGTGTCACGTGACGTTGCGTGACTGCCATGGAAGCCGCGGTCACTGGATGCAAGTCTGTTCCATTGACCAGCTTTCTTTGACCAAGGAAGGACAGTGTTCTTGTAAGCAAGACACTGCCTCGCAAGGCCAGGTGCCTTGACATTGAGAAACACCCCATGCCATGATAACAAGAAAGTTTCTCGAAAAACGTTTAATATCTTGTAATAATGAAATTGCTCTGAAGGGTAAAACGAAGACATCTTGCAGGATGTTTTAATCTCATCTAGATGGGAGAAGATGGTCAGAAAAAGCACCTTTCTGCATTTTTAGGAAGCAGTAATTTGTCAGAGAAACATATTCCTCCACATTTCGGTCAGGCCACCTTCCACTTTGAAAACCACCGAGGAAACAGCCCTCACTTGGATTTCTTGTCTACACAAATTTGCGATACTTCCACTTCCTAGTTGAGCGTTCAAATGAAATATTTACTTCCTGGTTTTGCTTTTTCACATTTAAAAACTTTGAAACATTTTTACCATTATTTAAACAACAGGACTAAAAAGTATGTCCTGATATTACATTAGACACATTCCCTTTGTGTTTTTGTTGTTATGTACCTGTTACACCTAAACACAACTTCTCGGTATGAAGATTCATCAGGCAGTTGCCTTGGCAACGGAGTGTGCGCTGCAGAGCTGGTAGAGTAAACAGCTAGCAAAAGTAATTTGCTGATTTATGCACCGTTGGTTGGCTGTTTTCTCCCTATTACTTCCTGAAAGTTGAACATCAAGAATTTATTCAACTGTCCTGTTTATTTTGAGGAAAATGCTGCAACACATAACCAGCATTTTACTGTTACGATCTATCTCATTATTACATGATATTAAACAAGTTTCAATATTAAAAAAGGTTTAAAATGACGATATGACAAGAAACTTTGTCGTTATTAAGAGAAATTGCTTTCATATTTTTTTCTCACACTGACATTAATATGCTTCCGTAGAGACCAAAGATGGAAGACGTGTAGAACCAAAGATTTGGTTGAGCTACATAAATTGGGATGATCCCACAAAATCAACTGAGGATTAGAGTTAAGGACTATCTGGACAACAAAAGGCAGACCAACATGGAGCTCCAGTTTCCCTCACCTCCTCACAGTCCCCTTTTTAGGGTACTTGCAGCCACCACACATGGCGCGTGCTATTGGTATGCAAATCTGCCTGGTTTATTAGGTCTATCGTCAGGGCTACAGCTGGGCCGGCACAGATATGCTCAGAAAAACGAAGCGGTCGGCTGCAGTGGGGGCAGGGGAAGAGATTGTTTTCTGAATGAACAGCCAAGCGTGTCCACTACCAACCAGTCAAAATTAACTTGCACACGACACAAGATTTGAAAAACTTGTGGGCAAACCGATTCTGGTGCTCTGTTAGTGACGCTCAAAGAGAACTTTCACAGATGACTCATTTTGTTTTTACCTACAATCTTTTAAAAATTAATATGCTTTTTGTTTTGGCACATTAAGTCTTGCTGAGCTTGGCTTAACCTAATGATGAATGACCTCATACTGAGAGCAAAGACAAAAGCATTTAGAGAAACAACATCCGTATCAGATTAAAACAGTAACTGAGGCCCCAACAAACAAATTATATCCTGACATGAAACCAAGAGAAACAATAGAAAGCCTTGATAGACTGATCAAAAGATTTTAATTAAAAGTTCTGAGAAAATGTGACGAAGTTCAGTCCGACTCACCAAACTTCTGGTTCAGGGGACACGTAAATGACACAAAGCAGAAAACGGTATCCTAAAATAGTCCTTTAAGATTAGATTGGTTGGCAGTTTGGGCTACAAAGTCAAAGTGGGACCAGCTGCATCCGTGTGCTGATCAAGAGGAACGACATTCCTTACAGAAAAAGTAAACGGGATGAGCATCATCACACAAACCTACAAGTGGTCCCCTAAAGACAACACACAACCCCTCACACCACTACTCTAAACAAAATGGACATGACTGAAACTAAAATGAAGGGGTTCCTACTGAATTGGCTCAGGAAGGTTTCCTTCAGGATTACTGGGTTTCTTTCCTTGGAGAGGGGGTAGGAAGAGGAGGGTTATTGTCACAGCCAGTCCCCTTTGACTATCCCCCTAACTTGCGTCATCTCATTGGCTCTAAGGAGCTAAAATGCTAATTCTTCCCATCTCTCCTGTTGTGTGGTAGACATGCATTTCTACCATTACTATGACAACAGCTTGATCTGTAGTGTGTGAGAACACCCTGCTTCCTGAAAGCCCAGGCTAAAGTGAAGAGCCCCTGACCACATGAAGCTGATAACTTCTGCTTTTAAGCTGGTGTATAATTTGATTTATAAAAGCCAACATCAGAAATTGGGATAACAGGGTGGTCAGAATCTAACCGTTTTCAGATTTCCACAGTTTATTCAAACAAACAAACAAACAAACAAACAAACACTTTATAACTTTTATATTAACACTCATATTTCTTATGATCTGAAATATAATCCATTGTGTTTTCTAATGCAGCATCAATATCACTTCACACTTGATTCTGCCCTTTCACTAACTAATAACTTCTTAAAAAGTGAAAACATAACTCATGAGACAACTTTTTTCTTTTCCCAATAAAAAACCTTGCACACAGGCTAAATGTCTGCTGGCAGGCAAATGGATTAGTGAAGAAAGATTGTACCCTAAAGCTGATAACAAGGCACTTAAACTCAACGTGATTTATTGTATGAGAAAGGCTGGAGCACAGAATCACAGCATTTTCTTCAAAGTTTGTGATTAGACTGGAATTATGGGAGGGACGTTTGAATGGTATCACTAAAGACAACTATTAAGAAAAATCTATCTAATAAAGATGAATTATGTGTAAAGAGAAGATAGAGGCTTTCATTTCAACCACATGACTCATTTGTCATTCAACAGCTTCTGAAGTCGTGTCCAAATGACTCTCCACAATGTTTAATTCTTAAATCCATCCATCAGCTTCAACTGAGAGTAGAAATCCTTATTAAAATGACACATAGCTGCTAATTCAATCATTATACTCCGTATGCCTTCAATACCTGTGCAATACCGGGTTTACGTAGTATGTCTGTGTCCCTTACAGTATGATGCAGTGTTGGAAACCAAGTTTTTCATTTTTTATTGGTGGTTTTTAGTGGTCAAAGGTTACCATAATAGCTTACTGCCTGTGTGTCTATGCATTCACCTTTGTTATTATTTTTCTTCAAATTATTCTCTAAGAGCTGGTGCTGCTGTAACAAGTGAATTTCTTCACTGTGGGAACAATAAGTGTGGAAGTAACAGAAAAAAAGTGCTGCATCATGGTTTATACAGTACTTCCAAGCTAAAAAGTGCTGCATCATGTTTTATACAGTACTTCCAAGCTAAAAAGTGCTGAGGCTGAGTACACAACCCACACTTTGAGCTGTTGGAACCCATTTGCTTCATAAAGTCTCACAAAGGCGTTCTTCAGCCAACGCTATCCAACATGTTTCGGGTGAGAGAGGTGAACCGTGAGCAGCACGTAATAACCGCCACATTCCTGCGCTGAGTGGCATTCCAGCTGTCAAGTCAC